GATGAGCAGACAGGAGGGTCCAAACTAAAGGCCACATATGACGGATCCATCCACCAAATAAGGGATGATAAGAAGGGAGAGCAACCCAAGAGACAATGGACGGAGAAGTGGTGCACATACCACCAATCCGATTCCCACAACACGGCGGATTGCCGAAATGTCAAGGCTGTGCTCAAGGAGATGGCCTTGAAAGGAGAGCTTGGGGAAGGTTACGCGACGGGTAATAAGAAAGACCCGAAAGCGAACACCTGGACCCGTCATCAGGGAAAAGACCAGGGAAGGAGAAAATCCGGGAAGGATAACAACAATCCGGATAAAGAATTTATACAGATGATTGTCGGCGGCCCGGAAGGCGGGGATACTGCCTCCCAGCGGAAGAACTGGGCCAGGAGCTTGCACGTGGCGGTGGTTTCCTTGGAGTCACATGGGAAGCAGGCAAGGAGGGAACCTATCACTTTCACTGATAGGGATCTGCCCAGGACGGGGGGAAATCATAATGACCCTTTGGTTATTACAATGGACATCAATGGAGCTGATGTGGCCAGGGTCCTGGTTGACACAGGAAGCAGCGTCAATGTTCTATACTTGGATGCTTTCAAGAAATTGAAGCTGGACAGGTCCATGTTGAGACCGTTGCAAACTCCATTGTCAGGCTTCACTGGAGCTAGCATAGAAGCGGAAGGTTAGATCACCTTACCAGTTACCTTGGGGTCGGGTAACAGGACAGTGACCAAACAAATGAGATTTGTTGTGGTCGACATCAAGTGTGTGCATAATGCCATTCTGGGTAGGCCTGGGATCAACCAGGTCAGGGCTATTATTTCCATGGCACACTTATGCATGAAGTTTTACACTCCCAATGGAATTGGGGAGGAAAGGGGTGATCAAAAGAACGCCCGGTCCTGCTACCTGGAAGCAGTCAAGAAGATGACCCGCCAGTTCGAACAAATTGAATTGGTCTCCCAGCATGTAGACAAGGGTGAGGAGAAGGCTAGGATCGAGCCGGATGCAAACACGGAGGAGATCCTGATTGATGCCTCCAATCCTGAGAGGAAGGTCAAAATTGGGGCTGACCTTCGGGAAGAGCTAAGGACTGAGATTGTCCAGGTGTTGACCAGGTATAAATCATTATTTGCCTGGAGTGTTGCTGATATGCCCGGGATTGACCGGTCAGTCATTTGCCATCGTCTCTCTGTTCTTGAGGGGTCTAGGCCTGTAAGACAGAAGAAGAGATTTTTGGCAAGTGATAGGAGGGACTTTGTGAAGAAAGAGGTCAAAGACCTACTTGAGGTAGGTCATATCAGGGAAGTAAACTACCCTGAATGGCTGGCCAATGTTGTCCTGGCCCCGAAGGGTGATACTTGGAGGATGTGCGTGGACTACACAGACCTCAACAAGGCATGCCCGATGGACTCTTACCCTCTGCCCAGCCCGGATCAAATGGTGGATGAAACTGCCGGGTGTGAGTTGCTCAGCTTTATGGATGCCTTCAAGGGGTATCATCAAATCTTCATGGCGGAGGATGATGAGGAGAAGACGGCCTTCCTCACTCCGGACGGCACATACTGTTACAAGGTGATGGCCTTTGGGTTGAAAAACTCAGGGGCAACTTACCAGATAATGGTCAACAAATTGTTCAGGCCTTTGCTTGGAAGGACCATGAAGGCAATATTACGCACTGGGACATACAAGTTAGAAACAACGGAAGGTCGAGAGTTGGAAAGGTGCTGGAATTCCCACCACCTTAGAAAATTCTACCGATAGACCAAATTGGCAGGGCATGTATTTGTAATACCCCTTCGATGATAAATAAGAGATTTCTTCAATACTAGTGTTGCTGGGTCAGTAATACTAAACTAATGTCTTGATGTAAGAAGCAGGGTCAAAAAAAAACCCTTGAGATAGGGGCCTTGATGTTGAGGTATGGCCTTGAGATAGGCTGGGTCTGGAAAAGGACTCGCGTCCATACTTACATGGATCCCTACCAAATTTTCATTTTGATAGGGGCAAAAAGATGCCAAAGTAAAAATATGATTACCGTCTTGCATGAGCCATCCTTTGCGGATTGAAGGGTCTAGGGAAGACTAGAATTCACTTCAAACGCATAACATATGGACATGTAAGATTGGATGAGTGCTGGTTCTCACCGGCATACCCCCACGTGGGAAGATTGGGTTGTCTAGGTCAACCTAATGATTAGAGAATGGCACATTAAAAAACTTAAAACCTGGAAGAGGGGCCCTGGAAGAAGGGTGTTGCCTGGAAGAGAGCTGAACCTTGGAGAGGGTTCGCGATCATAGGACATGGTCAAAATCTCCGAAGAAAGTTCGGGTCTTGACGTTGAGACTTGATGATTCCAAAACCGTTTCGGATTATTTGTTCGAAATTTGAGCAAGGTTGCTGTTAGGCATGACACCCATGCCAGAGGGGGAGAAGATGGTGGCATGGTCAAAAGTGACCGGTCACTTTTTGATGTTCTGGATTGATAAGAAAATGCGAATGGGAAAAAAATTAAAATTTGACCAGTCAAATTTGAGAAAAGTGACCGGTCACTTTTTAGTTGACGAATTTGATGAAATCAGACAAAACTGGAAAAAATATGTTTTGACCGGTCACATTTTTGACCCGGCACCTGGACAGGAAATTTGACGTCATGCTGGTTACATATTGCAACCAAGCCATTAGAACCTGGAAGTTGACTGGGTCAGAAAACAGGCGAGGAAGAAACCGACCTAGACGTTTTCAAGTCAAGAAACCAGGACATGAGATGACCTGGAAGTTTTCAAGCCTTTGCGTCTAAGGTGGTCTTCAAAACTTCCAACCTAGCCTACTACACCAGGACATGAGATGACCTGGACGTTTGATGCGGTTCAACCTAGACACAAACCGGTCCAGAAGACTAGTCAGGCCACAAGATCTGGACATTTTCAAGGTTGCAAGACCTAGATGTTTTCAAGGCTTGTACTTGACCAGGACATCACATGACCTGGACATTTGCAAGAGATGGAATTGACCAGAACATGAAAAGACCTGGACGCTATCAACAAAGCCTACCAGACCTAGACGTTTCTAAGGCGTTAACCAAAGACCATGACATGAGGTGACCTGGACAACTACAAAGGATAAAGCCGGTTACTTTTTTTGACTTGGAATCAAGCATATTCAAGAAAATTATCAACCAAGCCAATGAGGCCTGGACGTTTTCAGGACCAGGAAATGAGATGGCCTGGGCATTTTTTCAAAAAGATTCCTAGGGTATAAGGCCGGTTAGTTTTATTGACTTGGAAGTTCATTCAAAGGCGATCAAGAAAAGGAAAAGAAAAGCAATAACCATGCATAAAAAAGGAGTTCAACCATGCAAAATGAAGGAAGAGACAAGCCGGTAAATTGGAAACCATGCCAAACAAAAGATAATGTTACGCAAGTCAGAAGTAGGCCGGACATCCCCCAGGCCTTGGGAAAATTCAAAGTTTTTTCAAATCAAACCCTAACCTACTCTAGGGGAAAGGGGGGAGCTGGCTCTTCCTTATACAAGGCCGGGAGCTTCATTTTGGCCGGGTCAAAGGAGGGGTCCCTCTTTTGGAGTCTGGAATATAGAAGAGATCTCTCTTCCTTTTGACCACACTGGAACCCATAAGACCCGACGTCTGTTATCATTCTCTTTCCTTCCGGTTCCTTGTACATGACTTTGAAAAAATCCATGGTATCCTCCGGATTGGTGAGAATGGACCGGGCGACTTCAGTGTGATGGCAGGCGGCCCAAATCGCAGCATCATCAGGAAAGGCCTCCTCTTTTGACCGGGCAGTTTCTTCAGCTTGGGCCAACGCCTCTTCAAGCTCAGCGACCTTTCTCTCGCCTTCCTCCTCCAACCGGGCAGATCTGGCCCTCTCCTCCTCTAGCAAAGCCCTCTCAGCCCTCAGCTCTACTTCTAACCTTCTCTCCCTCTCGACCAGGTCATTTATTTCTGACTTGGCCGAGTCAAGCAGGAGATTCAGTTGGGAGACCTGGTTGGTT